TGTTTATAGCACACGGCTTTAATATTAGCTCACCCTTTGTTATCCTCCTTGAAGCGCGCTCATTTTTTTTTCCTTGCGTCTCTCTTAACACTCTTTCTATCTCATCAGTCTTCCTATCTCATCACTCTTTCGCTCTAGACTCTGGTCTCTCTATTTCACACACAGATAACTTGTTATCTCATTTATATATATATATAAATATATATATATATATATTTATATATATATATATATATATATATATATATATACATTTTTACATGGGTTATATATTATTTAAATCAAGTATTTTTTTTTAAAATACATTATAATTTAAACACCAGTAACACCGGAAGTAACTGTTAAGATCAACAATCAACGTAAGTAATTTTTAACGCCCAGCAATCCAGGGAAAACTATATTATAATAACCAAACAAATAACAGATTCAATCGGCCCGTAGCGTCTCATGAAGGATCTTTAATCATATGCATTATATGATCTACATTCTACAGAATAAGTTTTGGCTTAAATTCTCTGCTTTTGAAATACAGGAAATAAAACTTAACTACAGAAGACACATTTTTCAACGGGAATGACATGATTCTTTTTCTCCTGGTCTTCCCCAAGTTAAGAAATCAAAATAAAACGTGTGCCACCCTTAGAAACCAAAAACGAATCGTTTTCCAACTTTAGAAATACAGATGATTTGTTTTCCAACTTTACAAATAAAGATGATTTCTTTTCTAACTTTGGAAATAAAGATGATTTGTTTTCCAACTTTAGAAATACAAATGATTTGTTTTCCAACTTTAGAAATAAAGATGATTTGTTTTCCAACTTTGGATTTAAAGATGATTAATTTTCCAACTTTGGAAATACAGATGATTTGTTTTCCAACTTTGGAAATAAAGATGATTTGTTTTCCAACTTTACAAATAAAGATGATTTATTTTCCAACTTTAGAAATACAGATGATTTGTTTTCCAACTTTGGAATTAAAGATGATTTATTTTCCAACTTTGGAAATACAGATGATTTGTTTTCCAACTTTAGAAATAAAGATGATTTCTTTTCCAACTTTAGAAATACAGATGATTTGTTTTCCAACTTTGGAATTAAAGATTATTTGTTTTCCAACTTTGGAAATACAGATGATTTCTTTTCCAACTTAACAAATAAAGATGATTTTTTTTCCAACTTTACAAATAAAGATGATTTATTTTCCAACTTAAGAAACCAAATGATTTGTTTTCCAACTCTAGAATTACAGATGATTTCTTTTCCAACTTTACAAATAAAGATGATTTGTTTTCCAACTTTAGAAATAAAGATGATTTCTTTTCCAACTTTAGAAATACAGATGATTTGTTTTCCAACTTTGGAATTAAAGATGATTTGTTTTCCAACTTTGGAAATACAGATGATTTCTTTTCCAACTTAACAAATAAACATGATTTTTTTTCCAACTTTACAAATAAAGATGATTTATTTTCCACCTTAAGAAACCAAACGATCCGTTTTCCAACTCTAGAAATAAAGATGATTTCTTTTCCAACTTTACAAATAAAGATGATTTTTTTCCAACTTTAGAAATAAAGATGACTCGTTTCCCACCGTAAGAAATATGTTATAAATTTCAAGTAACTGTGTATAGTCCACGGAAAGAAAACCTCGTGATGTTATCAAAAACAGCGTGTTCTGAAGAGAGAACGGTCAGACAGTGTGCAGCCCCGAAACCAGCGGCTTGTGGAGACTTGGGGAGCCACGGCCGTGTCCATGCTAACGCACAAAGTGAAACAGTAAGCCATGACGATAAGCCCACAAGTCTTCGCTTTGATGGGTCAACTCTCTACTCTGAAACTCGTCTCGCCAGGGCAGAATGACGACGAAAGACGGTAAGTGGGAATTATATGCAGACGGGCGGGGGGGGGGGCATCCGTGGAGCGGAGCGGTTTCGGTTGGAGTCGGTTGGAAACAAATTTTAACACAATTCTGTTTGGAGATGATTCAGTTCCAAAACAATTTACTAAAAAAAATTAGTTATTACACGCTAATACATGTCAGAATGTGTGTTTGTACGTGTGTTTGTGTGTGTGACTTTGTGTGTGTTTGTGTGTGTGTGTGGGTGGGTGGAAGCTGTTGATACTTTGAGAACCATGTCGATGCCAAACTTTGAAAAGCCCAAAGAAATCAGAGCTCGCAATGACTAAATAATATAGGACTAAAGCCGTTAGAATTTATGACCACAAAAAATGTCGAGTTTCATTTAGAAACCAACCTGCTTGTTGCACATACTGCTTGTTGCATATACTGCCACATTTGGGACTGCTTGTTGCACATACTGCCACATTTGAGACTCCTTGTTGCACATACTGCTACATTTGAGACTGCTTGTTGCACATACTGCCACATTTGGGACTGCTTGTTGCACATACTGCCACATTTGAGACTGCTTGTTGCACATACTGCCACATTTGAGACTGCTTGTTGCACATACTGCCACATTTGGGACTGCTTGTTGCACATACTGCCACATTTGAGACTGCTTGTTGCACATACTGCTATTCAACAGAGCATTGGTCACACGCCAAAACGTGCTTTATTTGGACAGGTTTTACCGCTATTTTAACCCGAATTCCTGGCAATTTTGGGCTTTTAACTAGCAAGAAAGGACCAGATTTTTTTTTTTTAAACTCGATGGGCTGGGGAGCAAGAAAAAAGAGGTATGGGGGGGGGGAGGCTTTAGCCAAAACCCTTTAAAAAGTTAACCAATGATTTGTTTGCCACTTTTTATTTCATTTATGTAGATTTCACTGAATGCTCGTTTTATCCTATAATGTTGAGCCTTGAGGCATTCTTCTTTTTGAAAAATCTCTTCTCCAAGAGAGTGTATGTGTGTGTATGGGGACCATTTTAGGCACTCATGTTGGGAGTGGAGCTAACAAGGTTGGGAAACACATTACACAAATACAACCGAAAGAATTTAGTTATTGGAATGTAGGTTTTTTTCGGCTAAATATGTAAAAATTAAACCAAACGAACTCCTCTGTCCCTGCTTGGAGAAAGGCAATGGTAGCCTCCCCCACCCCCACCCCACCCCAATGCCATGTTTTCCATTATTTTAAAACAGCGGTTCTCAACCTGTGGGTCGCGACCTCTTTGGGGGTCGAGCTACCCTTTACACAAGGGTCGCCTAAGACCACCGGAAAACACATATTTATGATTTAGAAATTAAAATAAATTTATTGTTGGGGTCACCACAACAGGAGCAACTGTATTAAAGGGTCGTGACATTAGAAAGTTTGAGAACTACTGTCTAATTCTAATCATCGATAATGGATGCATCAAATTAGTTTTAAAAAAAAATATATAAAAAAAAGTTAAAATATAATGGATCACCGCATCAGAGCGCATGGAAATACTAATTTAAAATAATAATGTGCTCTCTTAAGAAGGAAAAAAATAAAACGAAGAATTTTCACATGAAAAATCATTTTTTTTTTTTTTTGTCTTCACTTTTCCCCTTATAGAGCGACTCTCAAGATTAGTGAAACCTAAATAATAACAACTGCAGGGAACAGAACTTGGGCGGTATTTAGTCAAGGTACGCCACTGTGAAACAGGGAACATTTTTGGTTTGATATCACATGGAACACAAAAGAAGACGATGGGGCTTTTCCAGTGTGTACTCATTTTACATTCTTTTCAGACTCAGCGACTTGTATTAGTGTAGACGAAGGTAAAAAATGAGTTTGAGCACCAAACAAAAAACTCACCTCCTCGGGCAGCCCAGGTAAGGACGTGGTGGAGAGCCTCCGCTGTTCGTGGCGTTGGGTTAAGATCGCTATCTCCTCGTCAGAGATCGTCGCCTGCTTCAGGGCTGTTTCGGCTTGTTTTAACTTCTCCAAGTTTCCCAGNAATTTATGATAATGTTCCCAACAGCGCAGTATATATATTCACACTCCGCAAAGAAATGTGACGTGGACATTTTCCCCAACTAAACAGTTTAAAATGTAATATATATATATATGTAATATGTTATATGTAATATAAAATGTAATATATATATATATATATATATATTACATATAAACACAGGCACAAACATGTATTTATTTATTTAGAGACAGTGAGAGAGAGACATAGCTAGACATAGAGAGACAGAGGAAGGCGGAAAAAGACAGATATTGAGAGAGGCAGTAAAACAGAAAAGATAGAGAGAGACAGAGATAGCGAGACAAAGAGAGAAGACAGGGAGCGAAGAATGAGAGGGATATAGTGAGATAGGCAGAGAGGGACATAGGGAGAGATACAGGGAAAGAGAGACAGTGAGAGACAGGGATAAGACAGAAAGAGAGATAGACTGATAGGTAGAGATGGACAGAGGGCGAGAGACAGAGAGAGAGACAGACATACAGAGACAGAGAGAGAGACAGACATACAGAGACAGAGAGAGAGACAGACATACAGAGACAGAGAGAGAGACAGACATACAGAGACAGAGAGAGAGACAGACATACAGAGACAGAGAGAGACATATAAAGAGAGCGAGAGAAATGGAAAAGAGAATGGGCATTAGTAAACTAAGAGAATTGAAATTATTCTTATTAGCAGCCAATATAAGAGCCCTCCCTTGTGAATTCCTCTTGGTAACGCCCCCTCCCCCAACGCCCCCCCCCGGACCGGGTTCGGAACGAATTTGAATAAAACCACAGCCGGAGTCGGGTGCTGTTTAAAAAATATTTCTTACCTTCTTGTGTTCGTTGATCACAGTCCTGAGCTCCCGGTCGTAACCAGCCTTCAAGCTCACGAACTCTTCCTCGCGTATTTTATGCTCTTTTATCTTCATCTCGAAACTCCTTTGTATATCCTCATTTCGTTTCAACAATGACGATCTCTCGTCCTCCAACGCTTTGATCTTCTCCTCCAGCTCCAGCGTCTTTTCGTTCTCCCTTTCTTTCTTCGCGCCTTCGTTTTCCTTGTTTTCCTTTTCGGGCGAGCTCGAAGCTGTGCTCTCCTTGGTCGGCACCGTTTCGGCTTCTTCTTTCGAACTGACCCCCGCGATACCAACCTTCGGGTTTGTTTCTGCGGTGCTGGTCACCCCGTATTTTGGAGAGGGTAATCCATCCACGTGAGACGTTTTCACGGTCGTAACCCTCGTGTTATCCCGGGCAGCGGCTTCGACCGTTTCGGCCTTATCGGCCACACCGGAAGGATCACCGCGTTCGGCTCTCTCCGTTGTTTTACTGCTGTGCCCGCGCCTGCGGTGGCCACCGCCGTGGCTTTCCTTATCGCCCTCGTAGCCGTCGACGCCCCGTTGAGATCTGGGCGTTCTGTTCGACCGCCTCGGCCCGTGGGGCGTTCCGGCGTCGGCGTTTTTAACCTCCTCTTGGTCGTCGGCCGTCCTCTTCTCCGCTCCGGATTTATGACGCCGTCGCTCGTCCCTGGCCTGGTCCTTGGCGCGAGCCCTTTCGCTTAGCACGGCCACGTCGTTGTCGCCGTCCCGCCCACCGGACGCCCCGTCATCTTCATCCACCTCGTTTTTGTCCTTCTCCTCCGGGCTGGGCTCCTCGATTTTGTTTTTCGGTTTGTCCGCCTTGTCCTCCGCCTTATGCGAGCTTTGACTCTTCTTCTCGGACTCCTTGTACATGAGGACTTGCTGGAGTTCAAAGTCTTTCTGTTTAATTAGTTCCTCCTTCAGGCGGGCCAGCTGTGAAATATAGCAACGTTGGGAAATTATTATGTGTTTATCTAAATAACATAATTCCCGGCTTAGGTTTGTCTGGAACTAACGCAAAGAAAGAGACCACCACTCGAAGAGCGTTGTGTTTTCAGAATATGCAATTCCATTCTCCGCAATTTTTAACAGGAAATTCTCTACACCATTATGCCCACCAATACGTCCACCATTATTCCCATCAATACGTCCACCATTATGCCCATCAATACGTCCACCATTATGCCCATCAATACGCCCACCATTATGCCCATCAATACGCCCATGAATTTACAACTGAAACCAACACATTTCATGTGCTCACGCCAGCCCAACCCACCAACCCCCATCTATCCATCAGTTTGTACATTTATTTGTCCGTTCACCTGTCCATATAAATAATATAACTTTGCATGTCTTTCAAACCGTTCATCTTTCTTTGTGCCATGACATATATCTATATATTAAGCTAACTATCTTTACCTCCCTCTTCTTCTCCTCCTCCAGTCGGTTCTGCAAGGAAATGAGGGCCAGCCTTCTCTCGTTCTCCAGAGCGTCCTTCACTTTTCTTATCTCCTCCTCCTTCTCCTGGTGGAGGATCCTGGCTCTGACTTTCTCCTGCTCGAGTTCACCTCTGACCTTTGAGTATCGTCTCCTGTATTCGTCCTCGTTTCGTCCCGAGCTCCGGTGCCTTCGTTCACGAAATCCTGCACAGAAGGAAATAACACCAATTCATCAAAACACGAAGCCATCGATAGATTACAGCAGGAAACAAACCCAAAATCCTCATCATAAGATGAAGGCAATGATAGATTACATAAGTGAATATGCAAATACTCTCATCAGAAGGCAGACACAATGATAGCTTGCGAATGTTTCAAACGAGCCGTGTTGTGGTCAGAGTTAAGGATTTAGGACGTTCTTTGCTGGTCCAGCTCGAGGCCTATTGTGGGTTGCTTGTTAATGACAAAGCTATGTATAACCTTTTGAAACTGTGGAAAGTTTCGCGATGGAGATATATCAGGTGTAGAATGTTCTTAATTAAATTAGAGGTTTTCAAACTATTTTTTGGCGTTTCAAAATTGTAACGGTTTTTTACTTGACAAAGCGTGAAATTATATATGTATTTTTGCTATTTCTCAGTGCATACGTTAGAATTTTAAATACGCTATCTTAGAAAAACCCTGGATGCTGCCAGAGCAACTTAGAAAAACCTGGATGCTGCCAGAGCAACTTAGAAAAACCTGGATGCTGCCAGAGCACCTTAGAAAAATTGGGTGCTGCCAGAGCAACTTACAAAAACTTGGATGCTGCCAGAGCAACTTAGAAAAACTGGATGCCGCCAGCGCAACTTAGAAAAACCTGGATGCTGCCAGAGCAACTTAGAAAAACTGGATGCTGCCAGAGCAACATAGAAAAACTGGATGCTGCCAGAGCAACTTAGAAAAACCTGGATNCGTCCTCGTTTCGTCCCGAGCTCCGGTGCCTTCGTTCACGAAATCCTGCACAGAAGGAAATAACACCAATTCATCAAAACACGAAGCCATCGATAGATTACAGCAGGAAACAAACCCAAAATCCTCATCATAAGATGAAGGCAATGATAGATTACATAAGTGAATATGCAAATACTCTCATCAGAAGGCAGACACAATGATAGCTTGCGAATGTTTCAAACGAGCCGTGTTGTGGTCAGAGTTAAGGATTTAGGACGTTCTTTGCTGGTCCAGCTCGAGGCCTATTGTGGGTTGCTTGTTAATGACAAAGCTATGTATAACCTTTTGAAACTGTGGAAAGTTTCGCGATGGAGATATATCAGGTGTAGAATGTTCTTAATTAAATTAGAGGTTTTCAAACTATTTTTTGGCGTTTCAAAATTGTAACGGTTTTTTACTTGACAAAGCGTGAAATTATATATGTATTTTTGCTATTTCTCAGTGCATACGTTAGAATTTTAAATACGCTATCTTAGAAAAACCCTGGATGCTGCCAGAGCAACTTAGAAAAACCTGGATGCTGCCAGAGCAACTTAGAAAAACCTGGATGCTGCCAGAGCACCTTAGAAAAACTGGGAGCTGCCAGAGGAACTTAGAAAAACTGGATGCTGCCAGAGCAACTTAGAAAAACCTGGATGCTGCCAGAGCACCTTAGAAAAACCTGGATGCTGCCAGAGCAACTTAGAAAAACCTGGATGCTGCCAGAGCAACTTAGAAAAACCTGGATGCTGCCAGAGCACCTTAGAAAAACTGGATGCTGCCAGAGCAACTTAGAAAAACTGGATGCTGCCAGAGCAACTTAGAAAAACCTGGATGCTGCCAGAGCAACTTAGAAAAACCTGGATGCTGCCAGAGCACCTTAGAAAAACTGGATGCTGCCAGAGCAACTTAGAAAAACCTGGATGCTGCCAGAGCAACTTAGAAAAACTGGATGCTGCCAGAGCAACTTGGAAAAACCTGAATGCTGCCAGAGCAACTTAGAAAAACCTGGATGCTGCCAGAGCAACTTAGAAAAACCTGGATGCTGAAAGAGCAACTTAGAAAAACCTGGATGCTGCCAGAGCAACTTAGAAAAACCTGGATGCTGCCAGAGCAACTTAGAAAAACCTGGATGCTGCCAGAGCAACTTAGAATGTATTCAGCAATGCGCCGTGTATGGAAAAAATTCGTGCACCTCTGACTTAAAAGAAATAGTAAACAACAAACACTCGCATGAACTCAAAGAAGGGGCGTTATTTTGTAAAGACTTACCTTCAGATCTGGCACTGACACTGGTGACACTGGCGGGGCTCGACGCCCTGCTGATGTCGTTGATGTTGAACTCCAGCTGCTCCAGGGCATCTTCGTTGAAGCTGTTCCGGCTGCTGTAGCTGCCAGACAGCCGCCTTGTGTACAGTGAGGACAGCTCCATGACAACCGCATATGTCTTGATCGGTGGTTAGAGATAATCTTTAATTTTAAAATCGATGAAATTAAATATAATATACAGCACTGGACTTTTATTAAAATAAACTGAAGCCACTTGCCTCAAAGAATCATTTCTTGATAGATCTGATTTTAAATAATATGTATTTATATGGTTGATTAATCGTTACAAGTATGTGGACTAAATTTAGAAAATCCATGCTTCTCACGTGGATAGCTGCATGTTGCCTGCTCACGCGTCGAAAAACCTTCTAATTTATTTGTGTACGCACTACGTGTAAAAAAACATATTCTCTATTTAAAAATTACTTTAAAAACGTAATTAAAACACTACACTTTTTTCTTTGAGTGGCATTGCAACGCATGCTGGGTTCTCGCGAGTATTAAAATAAAGACCTAACAAGCTTTTTGCCTTGCCAGAGGTTAATCCCTTATTGACCTTGCTACTGATCGCATTTCTCATCAGTTCTAAGCTCTCCTTGGTTTGGGGAATCGACGCCTTCACATAAGCAGGGCATCCGGTCCAGGCAGTGTCACCAGCTTTTTAATAGATAGATTGCCAGAGAGAGAAATAGAGAGAGAGAGAGAGAAAGAGGAGAGAGAGAGAAAGAGATAGAGAGCGAGCGAGAGAGATGGAGCGAGAGAGAGAGATGGAGCGAGAGAGAGAGAGAGTATGGAGAATAGTAAAGGTACAAGAGTATTAAATTATGTCACTTGAATGTTCGAGGCCCCCAGCCACTTAAAAAACTTAATTTAAAAAGTGTCAACATCACAACTTTTAACCCCTTCATGAGCCAAGGCCTCCTACACCGGGAGCGATTGCATGGCCCACCCATAAGGGTTTCTGGTTTTAAGTTAAACATCATTTTTTTAAAACTAGCATCTCTCCGATTAAGTGAAGGATCGTGCAAAACTAAAACAAAAATGAACATTTTCTATTGGGGGGTTGGGTGTGCTCAGTGAGCCCTATCCTCCGACTTCATACCCCACCTTTTACTCGGGAGTCTTCGTCATTCGCTAATGTCTGCTTCCCCACTTCGCCCACGCCGATCAATATGAAAGTACAGGGTTATATATAAGCGTGTGCCAAAAGATAACCTGGGGTGCACCACAATCCCAGAGGAAATTGTTTGAAAAAGCATTGGTATGAAGGAGGGGTAACTACCAGGTCAAGTTGTAGAGGAACCGTGAAAAGGATTAAGGAGGGTCGTTCGCAAATAAATTACATCACAACTGGGGGGGGGGGTGTGGGGGGGGGGTGTTTCCAAGAATTTGTGACGTAACTTTTTTTTCTTCAAATCTAAAATTTTTCAATTTTGAAAAAAAAAAAATCTGTATTTAATTAATTTTATAAACTTTAATTTGAGGTCCAAATTGTCTCAGTTATTATAGGTAGGCCTACTATGAAACTCAGTTTTCTAATAATACAAAATCTTAATCCATTATGGGAAAATGTTTAAGAATAAAATAAAATCTTACTTTAGTTATGAAAATTGTATGCATGTTTTGATTTTTTTTATGTAACGTGACTCTGGGGAGGGGGGGGGGAGAATTTGTGACACTTCGAGACAGGGGGAGGGGGGGGTCTAAAAAGGTTATTTTAAGCGTAACGTAATTTACGAAGGACCCCTTAAAATATGAGGGGAAGAATACGAAGTGAACGAACTTGTCAATGAGAGAAAGTGACGGTAAAACAGAGAGGCACTAGCGATACTAGCATACATAATAGAGCGAGAGACAGAGGAGAATAGAGAGAGAGAGAGAGGTGGATATAGAAAGAAAAAAAATAGAGAGACAGGTTCACACACAGGAAAAGACAGAGAGACAGAGACATTGTCAGTGACAGAGAGAAACATTAGGGACAGATAGATACAGAGAGAGGAGGACAGATAGTGGAGAGATATAGAGAGACAGCGACTTGGAAGGAGAGTGTGGAGGAGAAAGAGAGTGGGTTAGAGAGAGAGACAGAGCGATATATAGAGAGACAGATAGTCAGAGAGAGAGAGAGAGAGAGAGAGAGAGAGAGAGAGAGAGAGAGAGAGAGAAAATGTGAATGTGAGCATGCCATGGTTCAATAAATAACAACGTGTGCAGACGTATGTGGCGCTGTGTGCTAAAGAGAGGGGAGAGAGAGAGAGAGAGAGAGACGTGGAAGGGGAGTGTGGGGGAGAGAGAGAGAGGGTGAGAGAGAGAGAGAGAGAGATATATAGAGAGAGAGAGAGAGAGAGAGAGAGAGAGAGAGAGAGAGAGAGAGAGAGAGAGAGAGAGAGAGAAAATGTGAATTTGAGCATGCCATGGTTCAATAAATAACAACGTGTGCAGACGTATGTGGCGCTGTGTGCTACCTATTCCTGGCGGCTAGTTACCTAAACTTATAACGCCTATTATATGTAGGCCTATTATTATTATATTACAACACAGTCCACTGCATTACCCACTCGTCTTATACGCCTAAGGTGCTAAATACGCCGGCCTCACCTGCAACAAACAGAATGTCCCTTCTTATCCTTTTAAAACAATTGTAAAAGTATCCCAAAGCGAAAGTAAAATAATAATTTCCTCTCTATATCCTACATGTTTTCATTCAATCCATTTTTCTTTGAGAGTGCTGGAGTGTTTTGATCACGTGATTCACTACACCAGTAAACACGCGTCTTAATCGTTGGACTACAATCATTCCGTCAGTGCACTCCACTAGAGAATGCATTGTTGTAAATTTCAATGTTTGATTTTTATAAGCAAATTTGCTTGAAATATATGCGAGAGTATCCGTAAACTTTATCTATGCTGCTAATGTTTTTTCCCTCCCTGTTAGAACCTCAATAGCGAACTTCCCTCAGCAAGACAATCAGGTCCAAACGTGTTTGCGTTGGAGGCAAGTTTTCTGGCACTACGCACCTTACTGCGTGTGTGTATGTGCGTGTGCTGGGTCACGTGAATTCCTTCAGGTAGAAAGCATGGGGATCTAGACACTTTGATAAAACGTATTGCTTTCAGTCGGCATTAATTGTTGATATCTTACGAGGCGAATGAACTTCAGACTGAGGCCTTAAAACTTAAGTTAAAATTATAAATATCAAGTAGCGTTCGATACGTTTGAATTAATTAAAGTTAAATAAAAAGTTGGTGGGGAGGGCGCCTCATCATTACTCAAAAACAGAAAATGCACCTACATTTATTTATTTTTATTTTTTGGTTGACTGTGCTGATTTATTATTTATGTATACTAGACTATAGAATTCCCCAATAGAATTATAGGAGTAGTGATAAGTAAGAATATTATAGCATTCTATAACTATAAAACGTTAGTAGTCTCAATTACTATAAAAAATAATATACTTATTTCAGTAACCCCGAAAATGGAATATATAGATTATTTATAAAATGAAATAAAAAGCCTATAAATAAAATTATATTGGCAAAGGGATCTTGGGTTTGATATAATGACCAATGCACTCTCAAAATGATTGCTCATATTTCTAAAAGTCGTTAGAATCACTTTTTTCCGAATACAGTTCTATATGTTTATTTACTTTAACAACCGTTGCCAACACGCTAAGCAGGCAAACGGAAATGACACAGACACTTTTAAAATTATTCGTTTAAATTAGTTATAATTTTAAAATATAACGATTCTTGATATAAAACTAGTTTTCAATTTTTTATTTGTCTTTCTTATTACGATAAACAGATTAATAGATGTAATAAATATATAAATAAATCAATATATATATATATATATATATATATATATATATATATATATATATATATATATATATATATGTATATATATATATATAGATATATATATGTTTAT